CTTCCTTCCAAGGAGTGGCTGGTGGGTTTGAACTGCCAGCCTTCTGGTTAGCAGTCAAGTGCCTTAGGCACTACGCTACCAGAGCACCTGCACAAATATTTAGCAAATACTAAAACAATACTATACTATACTTCCATAGTTAGGTTGGTTTCTGGGTTATATCAACAGTTGTGTTAATGGTCAGTTGTTGTTGGCTGTTGTTGCTTCTCTGTCCAAAGGGCTCCCTTTAGCATCTCTTGTAATGTTGGTCTGGTTTTAACAAACTCCCTTAATTTCTGCTTATCTGGAAATGTCCTAATTTCACCATCATATTTGAGGAACAGTTTTGCTGGGTACATAATTCTCGGTTGAAAATTTTTCTCTTTCACAGTTTTTATATATACAGTTCCATTGTCTTCTTGCCTGAATGGTTTCTGCTGAGAAATCTGAGCTTGGTCTTATTGGTTGCCCCTGGTAGGTACCTTTTTGTTTTTTCCATGCTGCTTTCAGGATTCTTTCTTTGTCTTTGGTTTTGGTGAGTTTGGTGATGATATATCTTGGTAATTTTCTTTTGCTGTCTGTGCTATTTGGGGTTCATTGGACTTCCTGAATGGATATATTCTCATCTTTCATCATACCAGAAAAATTGTCTTCCAACAAATCTTTGACAATTTTCTCTGTGATTTTATTTGTCTCTTCCTGTTCTGGAATTCCAATTACACGTAGGTTATTCCTTTTGATGGTATCCCACATGAACCTTAGGCTTTCTTCATTTTGTTTTGATCTTTTTCTGATTTATCCCTTTCCAAAGAATTGTTCAGGTATTTGCCGTCAGTCTCCCTAATTCTGTATTCCATTTATTCTTTTCCTTTGCCCATTCAATGTCTTACCTATTTCTGAAAATTTAGTGTTAATCTTCTGGATTTGTGTGTGTAGATTTTGTATCATTTCTAATTTTTCATTTATTTTGTCATTTTGTTCTTATATTTCAAAATTGTTGTAGGGTTTTCTCTGTGTTTTCCTCAATTTTGTCAGTGTTTTCCTTGATGTGTCTCTCAATTCATTGAAGATACCTAACTATGATTCTTTTGAATTCCTTATCAGGGAGTTCCAGTGCTGCATCTTCCTCAGGGATGTGTTTTGGGTCTGTATCCTGGTCCCTTGTTTCCTCTGCTTAATCTTGTTTCTTTGTATGGACTGTGATGCTCTTTTATCTCCGAGACATTGTGACATTTTTGTGTTTATATTTAATTGGTGATTATATGCTGAAGCAACTTGCCCACGATTTTGGTTTTCTTTGTATGTTACCTACACAAGCAGGGTACTGTGCTGTGCTCTTCTATTCACTAGTTGACAGCCCTTATGCGCTCACCACCTGTCTCCTTTCCTGTTGTCAGCCTCCTGTATGTCCCAGCCAACCTTGGCAAACAGACCCTAGTCTTAGTTCCCTGGAATCTGAATGAAAATGCTACCACTTTAAAATCCAAAATGGCTGCAACTTGTAAAGATTCAAAATGGCTGCACCATCGGTCACTTTAAATATCCAAAATGGCTCTGCGTATAAACAGTCAAAATGGCTGCACCTTCCAGACAGCAGAAAGTCAACAGCTCAGGTGGTTTCCCTCCTTGCTTTTTCTCTTCCTAGTCATAGGCCACCAGCACAGTTGTCCCTGCAGCCCTTGGTGACCAGGGCTGATCTTTAGGTTAATTCTCAGGTCCCAACACCACTTGGCAATACTCGGGCTGTTGGTCCCATCAGTAGCGGACAGTCTGCAGCTCTGACCGTCTCTGTACTCTTTTCATTCAAGTTTTTCCACTAGTTGGTGCCTAATCCACTTCTGTATAGTTCCTTTCAAAGCTCAGGGCTCCAGGATTATCTTCTGTATCTCTGTCAATTGTATTTTCTTTTCCTTATTG